CTCCTTGGGTGGCTGTCCGTGGCATGCCCCACATTGGTGCCTCTGAGAGGGCAACCTGTGTCTGTGCAATGCAGAGCTGCCCTCTCTCCTCCGCAGGCTGGACTTCTGGCTCACACCTTCCCTCTCCTGGGCTGGGGGTCCCATCCCCTCCCCGAATCCCTCAGAGGGCACCATTCTTGCTCACCACTGAGGAGGAGCCAGCTGCACCCGGTCAGAGCCATCTTTCATCCCAGGCTGGGTCTTGGAGATGGTCCTGTAGGTGTCCCAATGCTTGGAGGCCCTTCCTGGTTGGGGCTTGGCTCCGTCTGCCACTGGACCTGGGAAGGTTCGGCAATTTGGAGTCGGAGGAGATCACCTGAATTTGGAGGGATCGAGTCACCAAGGATCTGGGGCCCTGTTTGGGCATCAGGGTGGGTGTGGCGGGCACCGGCCAGGGGCCACGACCTGGTCAGGCCTCCTGGGGCAGCTGCCTAACCCTCTTTGTGCCAAAGGCCCAAATTTGGTACTGGGAGAAGAACCAGGTCGCCGGGGAGGAGGGCGGAGGGGCCAGGGAAGATTTCAGAACAGTTCTCACGGACCACCAGGCCCCAGGCCTCCTTGGTGAGCTTGGGGGTCGGCAAGGAATAAACCAGTAAACGGTGATGGCAGTTTTCCCAGCCTCAATGCCGTGGGTGACCTGCAGGCATTATCTCAGTGGACGTCAAAACAATCCTGTGAGGTGGGCACCTTTAGAACCCCCATTTTCAGATGGAGAAACTGAGGCAGTGGACGGGGAATCTGACTCGCCCAAGTTTCTGCAGGGAGAGGATATGAGCCCGACTCTGTTTCCAAAGCCAGACAGAGGAAAGGGAGCTGGATGGCTGCACACTTTAAAGTGTCCAGAAATCTGCATTTTCTTTCTTCCCTTTTGGAGGCTTCGTTTTCCCTGTCAGACAGGGGTATGTGCAGGCTTTGGGGCCAGAGAGAGGCAAGTTTTGACCGTGGCTGTCTGCGTTTACCCGAAGTGGGGCTGGGGGCAACCCCTTGCTTCATCTTCATTTTTTTTTTTTTTGTAAAGATGACCGGTAAGGGGATCTTAACCCTTGGCTTGGT